ACTGCAGAGGGTGCACAGGGCGAGGGTCTCGGATCTGGACTCGCTGCCGACGAGGAAGTCAGTACCGAAGCGTCAGCTGACGCAGCGGCGCCGCCCAGCACCGGTGAGCCCCTCGTGGAGATGGACGGCTGCCAGGTCCGCTACGGCGACAAGATAGCCCTCGGCAACTGGAGTCAATCGACGCCGGCTGGCCCCAAGGATGGCCTCATCTGGACCGTGCGTCGAGGCGAGCGCTGGGGCGTCTTTGGCCCCAACGGCTCCGGCAAGACGACCATCGTTGCGTTGCTCTGCTCGGATCACCCGCAGACGTACGCCCTGCCGATCAAGCTCTTTGGCCGGAGTCGCATTCCCGAGCCGGGCTCTGGTGGCAAGGCACTCACGTTCTGGGACATTCAGGCGCGCATCGGCCACTCCAGTCCCGAGGTGCACCAGCACATGCCGCGCAACCTGACCGTGCGGGCCGTCCTCGAGAGCGCGTGGGCGAGCACCTTCAGCGCCGTGCCGCGTCTCGACGATGACGCGCACGCGAGGGTCGAAGCTGCACTGAAGTGGTTCGCGCCCGAGCTGGATCCCAGCTTCCAGTCCCGTGCGGCAGAGGGGGGTCTCGCGTGGGCGGACGACAACCTCTTCGGCAAGCTCTCCTTCAGCGCGCAGCGCGTGGCACTACTCGTGCGCGCCGTGATACGAGGCCAGGACGTCGTGGTGCTCGACGAGGCGTTTGGCGGCATGGACGAGGTCGTGCGGGAGAAGTGCATGGCTTTCCTCGAGCAGGGCGTCGACGGCGGCGTGCCGGGCCTGTCGGAGGCGCAGGCGCTCGTCTGCATCAGCCACGTGCGGGAGGAGGTGCCGGACTGCGTCGAGGCGTGGATGTGTCTGCCCGAGGCCAACGAGGGGCTTCCTGCGCGGTTTGGGAGGTTCAGGGGGTCTGTGAGGAAGGGAGAGAGGGGCTGGAAGGAGGTTTGGGGGGGTTGGAGCTGAGATGCCTGCTAAGAGGCTCAAGGCCTAACAGTAGGCTCATCAGATATTGGTACTCAAACGATGCTGGGTTTTGCATAGCAACAGTGATCGGCAGCCGGCCTAAGCCCGTGCTGCACATGGAGCTCACGCATCCCTTACGACTTCACCACCGCGTTAGTTTTGTGTCAACTTGTAGCTCTAATACGACACAAAACAGTTCCCGCGCTCTCGTGCAGTAAAAAAAAGGGAATGTGCCGCCATGACTGTTACAGCGCTTCCGCTCGGTGTGCGCTTGGTGTAACATGCAATCTGGATCGAGATCGATAACTCTGTTGTGCTTGTTGCTGGCTGTTTCCCTCTTGTTGTCGTATTCCTCTTGTTGTCGTATTCTTCTTGCTGTCGTATTGCAACGCCCGTCGAGACGGGCAAAGTTTGCGTCTAACGGTCGCCAATCGAGCCGACCAGCTCAGGTCGATGGGCCTTTGCCCAGTTCAGGCTGGGGGGGGTCACTCAAGTGAGGGGACATGGTAACGACGGAGGAAGAAGGGCGCAAGGCTGGGGATGACCCACCCGGCCCGTGCAGTGGCCGGCCCCACGAAGCGCGCCTTCCCTTGGAGCCCGGTTGCTGGGGCGACAGGTAACATCACAAACGCTCCAGTGCCTGCCCCTCGCCCTGAGCAAGCGCCTGCCCTTTACCGTCACCGCAAAGGCTGATAGCAATTGTCTGGTAGTCGTGCCAGCAGCTCCTTCCTATGACCGTGCTAGGCCTCTTAAACCTACACATCCTCTTCCTGTCATTCTGCCCCCATCATAAGCCAGCTGGGACCAACATTCCTCGTCCGCTCATCACTCCCCCAGACGACTCGCTATTGACGTTGTCTTCCTCTCCAGCGCAAAGCGACCTCAAGTGGAAGCACTCCCTTCGACCCTTTTCTGAGACACCAATTCTGCCGTCAACATTCCTTGCCAAACCATCTCGTCCCACGATCCTACAAAACAATCGCCCGCCATGGACGGTCCCAGCACCCCAGGCTCGCGTCCTCCCGACTACAGCCTACCCTCCTACGACGATCACGACGATTCGCCGCCGCCTGGTCATCACCAGAACATCAATCCTGCCGCCATCCGACTGTTGACGTCGGTGGAAGGTGATCCCTACGACGCTCGCCCGTATGTTCCCAGGTCTCCTGACAAGCCCTCTTCCCCCGAGCACACTGTCAAGCCCAGCACTCCATCTGATGCCGACCTCTACCCCGAGCCTCTGGCGCTCAAGAAAGACGCCAAGTCAACTTGCGCAACGCCAGAGCACTTGGATGCTCTGAAGCGACAAGAAGCTGGCCGTGTACCCCCCAGCCCCGCCCCCATCGATGCGCAGACTGCTCCTTCCACGCATCACAGCTACCAAGAACTCCCCAAGCCCAAACTCAAACCCGCTCGTGCTTCGACTGTCAAGTTGCAGAAGAAGTCCCACTCCCAACCCAATTTGCCGCGTTGCGCAGGCGTTCGAGCCAGCCTGCCCGTTATCCCTGAGGGTCCTTCTGCGAGGAAAAGTGCCCTCCAGAAATCCTCGACTAGCTGCCTCTCTACACCACAGACATGCCCAAACAAAGAGAACTCTGGCTCACAATCTGATATTTCTAGTGCTCAACCAACGCAGCGACGCTCGTACCAGCCTTCCATCATGTCGGACTACTCGAGGCACGACACCATTCTCGACCCGCCGGCCATGCCGCCTCCGGATTCCACATACGTTCCCTTCCAGGGCCGTGAGAGGAGGACACCATCGCCAACGAGATCCTCGCCAACAAGGCCCTGGAGCAGAATGTCCAACGACTACACGCGCCCGCCCCCCTCCACCATGTACGAACCATCCGACCTCAATGGCAGCCCGCGTCCTGGAACACCTTCGTCAAGATACGGCGGCAGCCCGAGGAGGCCTCTGCCTCCGGCGCCGCTGTTCTCCAACTCGGCACGCGACTCGCAGGCCTCGTTTGCGGACGACGTCACCGTGTCTATCCCCCTTGACCACGATCCCGATGATGTGTTTGGTCCCGAGACGGATATCAGTGACAACCGTTACCGCAAGAACTCATATGTATCTCAAGACACTCTGCACGACGATCGAGAAGACGACTACGTCCACGATGACAACGAAGAGAACGACCAGCAGGGACACTATGGCCCAGCGCCTGATGGCAAGCAGGAGCGTCGCGGCGTTCGCGCGCCCCAGATGTCGAGGAAGGAGGTCCAGCTCATCAACGGCGAGCTTGTCCTCGAATGCAAAATCCCGACCATTCTCTACAGCTTTCTGCCGCGACGCGACGAGGTAGAGTTTACGCACATGCGCTACACGGCTGTGACGTGCGATCCCGATGACTTTGTCGACCGGGGGTACAAGCTGCGACAAACCATTGGCCGGACAGCTCGTGAAACAGAGCTGTTCATCTGCGTCACCATGTACAACGAGACGGAAATTGACTTTACGCGGACCATGCACGCCGTCATGAAGAACGTAGCACACTTCTGCAGCCGCAAGAAGTCGCGTACGTGGGGCGAGCTCGGATGGCAGAAGATTGTCGTCTGCATCGTGTCTGACGGTCGTGAAAAGATTCACCCGAGGACCCTCGATGCACTGGCTGCCATGGGTGTGTACCAAGACGGTATCGCCAAGAACTTTGTCAACCAGAAGGCCGTTCAGGCCCATGTGTACGAGTACACAACGCAGGTGTCTCTCGACGCCGATCTCAAATTCAAGGGCGCCGAGAAGGGCATCGTGCCGTGCCAGATGATCTTCTGCCTCAAAGAGAAGAACCAGCGCAAGCTCAACTCGCACAGATGGTTCTTCAACGCTTTTGGCAAATCACTCAACCCCAACGTGTGCATTCTGCTTGACGTCGGCACACGGCCTGGTGGCGACTCGCTGTACCATTTGTGGAAGGCCTTCGACAACGACTCGAACGTCGCGGGCGCCTGTGGTGAGATCAAGGCCATGAAGGGCAAGTTTGGGCGCAACCTGCTCAACCCGCTTGTCGCCTCGCAAAACTTTGAGTATAAAATGTCCAACATTCTCGACAAGCCACTCGAGTCCGTCTTTGGCTACATTACTGTGCTGCCTGGTGCCCTCAGTGCATACAGGTACCACGCGCTGCAAAATGACGAGACGGGCCATGGCCCCCTGAGTCAGTACTTCAAGGGCGAGACGCTGCATGGACAGCACGCCGACGTCTTCACCGCCAACATGTACCTTGCTGAGGATCGTATCCTTTGCTGGGAGCTCGTCGCCAAAAGGGACGAGAGGTGGGTGCTCAAGTACGTCAAGGGCTGTCACGGAGAGACGGACGTGCCAGACAGCGTGCCCGAGTTCATCTCGCAGCGCCGCCGTTGGCTCAACGGTGCCTTCTTCGCCGCCGTCTACTCGCTCGTACACTTCAAGCAGGTCTGGACAACCGACCACACTCTCGCCCGTAAGATTCTTCTCAACATCGAGTCGTTCTACCAGCTGCTGCAGCTCCTCTTCACCTACTTCTCGCTCGCCAACTTCTACCTCACCTTCTACTTCGTCGCGGGCGGTCTGGCTGATCCAAAAGTCGACCCATTTGGCAACAATGCCGGCTTCTGGATCTTCACCGTCTTGCGGTACACCTGCGCCCTCCTCATCGCCACGCAATTCATCCTCTCTCTGGGCAATCGTCCGCAAGGCGCGAACAGACTCTACCTGGCGAGCATGATCATCTTTGTCATCATCATGATGTACACCTCCTTTGCCACCATCTGGATCGTTATCTACCAGTTCTCCAACGATAACATCCATCTTGGCAGCAACGTCTTCACCAACATTATCGTCTCCGTGCTGTCTACTCTTGGTCTCTACGTCTTCATGTCCCTCATGTACCTCGAGCCCTGGCACCTCATCACCTCCTTTGTCCAGTACTACCTCCTCCTGCCCTTCAGCATCTGCACCCTCCAGGTGTATGCCTTTTGCAACACGCACGATGTCACTTGGGGCACAAAGGGTGACAACGTCATGAAGACAGATCTCGGCGGCGCCATTGGCAAGCGCGGCGGAACGACAGTCGAGCTCGAGATTCCATCCGAACAGCTCGACATTGACTCGGGATACGACGAGGCCCTGAGGAACCTCAGGGACCGTGTCGAGGTGCACTCGCCCCCTCCTAGCGAGTCTCAGCTGCAGGAAGACTACTACCGCAGTGTGCGAACGTACATGGGTCGTGACCTGGATGGTTGCCAATGCCATCCTCGCCATGGCCGTCAGCGAAGCCTATTCGAGCACCGGCATTGGTGAAAACTACTACCTGCGCTTCCTGCTATGGTCTGTCGCCGCGTTGGCGTTGTTCCGCGCACTCGGCAGCACGACCTTTGCGGTGCTGAACGTCATCAACATCATGGTGGAGGGCCGCATGAAGATGAGCCTCAAGGTGCCCAAGTGGATGGGCGGATGGGGCGAGAAGGTTGGCAGCGTGGTGAGCGAGAAGATGAGCAGCATTGGCAGCAGTGTCGGCAGCAGCATTGGGCGGAAGTAGAGACGACGTCTGTGATAAGTGAATTTTTGCACGGGGTTGCGGGTTTGAATATTCGGGACGGATTCGGCATTACGTTTGATGCCTGTCGGGATTTTGTATGAAAGCTTTGGACTGTTCATGTGAATGCTTTGATTGACCTGTGGGATAATACGGAGTTGGGACTGATAATAGAATCCATGCCCTGGTGCTTCAGAGTCGTTTGTGATTGTGGTCTTGCTACTACGCGTATGGGAGATGACCGCACTTGCTCGCAGATGTCTGACGACGGAATCCAATGCATACCCTATAATTGATATTTTCCCAGAGTATCGATTCTTAAAATATCAGGTAGTGGTGAATCGCGTATGTGTTTCCTAGTTCGTTACTCCACTGACATCCACAGGGTTACTTGAAGCCAAAGGATTTAGTTCTGATAAACGTGGCTTGCGGAGGGTCCAGCTGCAAATATCAGACTAACGCCTCATTATTCTGTATATTGCTTTCCTATCCAGTGCTTGTTCACTTCAGATGCTCGCGGCACGTTTTCGAAAGCATTTGGGATCGATATTCTCATTCTAAGATTGAGTTGGAGGCTATCGGGAGGCACCGCCGGAGCCACGCGACAGGCAAGACAAGGTACCTCAGGGAGGTTTATGACCACGGGAGCACATATGCAAGAGCTGCGGTGGACTAGAATCCAGATGTATTCGAACCCATCCCTCCCTGGCAATTGACTGCGGAAGACGTATTCACTCGGCTTATCCCATTGCTCTGACTTGACCTCAAGGGATGGTTCCATGTGCAGACGGCTCGACGACTTTCCAGTCACATCATGTTTGGGTACAGGGAGAAGAACGTGAGAAAAATACGAAGGTATTTATGGCAAAGAGCAGTTTCTTGTTGAACATCAATGCGATTTTGTGTCGCTGAAATCTCAAGTGGAATATGCATCAGGGCAACACGTCGTTCAAAGACCCCCGGAAATTCAAACATCGACAACCACCAGCGAGCTCTCGAGATTGACATCAAATGCGATGCCGCATTTCATAACCACAATCAAGCAAGTTTGACCCCCTCCTCGGGCCTCTCAAAAGCCCCATGCCTGCCAGCCCCACTGCTGAACTTGGCAGCGCCCGCCACGCTCTCCGTCGTGATAACCTTGACACCCTCGTCGAACTCCCTACTCAGGGCGTCCTCAAACGAACGAGCATTGTAGGCTGCGTAGTAGCAGCTCTCCCGGTCCGTGTTCATGCAGCGCGGCGGGAACAGCAGCAGCTGCCTCGCAATCCGCGTCGCCTCCTGCAGCGCCTGGCCCTGGGGCACGACCCTGTTCGCGAGACCCATCTGCAGGGCCTCCCGCGCGCCGACGGGCCGGCCCGTGAGGATCATGTCGAGGGCGCGGCCAAGGCCGATGATGGCCTGCAGCCGCACGGTGCCGCCGTCGATGAGGGGCACGCCCCACCGGCGGCAGAAGACGCCGAAGACGGCGTCTTCCTCGGCGACGCGCAGGTCGCCCAGCAGCGACAGCTCGAGGCCGCCGGCGACGGCGTGGCCGGACACGGCGCTGATGACGGGCTTGTTGATCTGCATGCGCGAGGGGCCGATGGGCCCGATGTTGCGCCCCTCGACGCGGTGGTCCGGGGATACGAGGGGCCCGCCGTAAGACGCGCCGGACCCGCCCTGGCCGAGCTTGGCTACCTCGTGCAGGTCGAAGCCGGCGCAGAAGGTCCCGTGGGCGCCGTGGAAGACGGCGACTTTCTGCGTGGGATCGTCCTCGAAGGCGAGGAAGGCGTCTGTGAGCTTGCGGGCCGTAGGGCCGTCGACGGCGTTGCGCCGTGCCTTGCGGTTGATGGTGATGGTCGTGATGCCCTCTGGGGTCTTGTCGATCAGCACCGAGTCGGGCTCACCGTCATGGGAAGTGGACATGATGATTCAATTGATTTTTCGTTGGCGACCTGGATGAAATGCACTGAGGGCTGATGCTTGCCGTCTTCTGACGAGTCCATGATCACCAGCTTCTTCTTCTATCGGTACTGAATGTCATAAGATATCCGCTGGTGCGGATGCCGAGGTAATGAAACATGGCTTTCCCATCCCTTTAGTGCCCTAATTTCGCCTTAGTCCATCAAATGATCACCGCCTGCCTAAAGAGCTTTGATCTACATGCATGCAGGTACTAATTAGGTCAGTACATGATTGAGGGCGGGTACGTCTGTGGAATAGAGGTAACGTATACGCATCTAGAAGTATAGTTCGCTATGTCCTTTGATTCAATTAGCGACGACATATGAATTTTTCTTCTGCGCGTGAAACGGGCGGAAACAGCATCATTTTAGCATATCTGCACAGTCAATCACAATGTCGGCGACTCAGTTACAGACTTTGACGTCAGTTAGTGAGCTGCGGGATGGCAGCGAGACGCAGAGCATAGCCGAGAACGCGCAGTCTTCAGAATCCCATGACAGGCTCGGGGCGTCACGCTGGGCGGTTCTCTCCGCTGCCTTTGGCATCACCTTCATCGCCGTGGGCATGCCCAACTCTTTTGGCGTTTTCCAGGAATACTACGAATCGACGCTGTTCCCCAACAAGCCATCGCCTGAGATCATCATCATTGGCTCGCTGTCGTCCAGTCTTTACATGATCCTTGGCGCCTTTACAGGGCGGCTTGCCGACGTGGTAGGGTACCAGGTCGTCCTGATTTCAGGGTCTGTTCTCATCGTCGGCGGTCTCTTTGCCGCGTCATTTTCAAACCAGTTCTATCAGCTTGTGCTCTCCCAAGGATTGGCATTCGGTCTCGGCACAGCTCTCGTATACTATCCTGCCGTCAGTAGTTCCGGGCAGTACTTCCGACGCCATGGTCTTGTCAACGGGGTCGTGCTCTCGGGAGGCGCTCTCGGAGGCTGCATTGGCCCGTACTCCGTCCGCATCATGATCCAACGGCTGGGCCTACCAGCCACCTTTCGCACGCTGGCCGCCATGTCAGCCGGTGTCCTGACCTTCTCCTGCATTGCCTTCACGCAGGCCAGGAGGCGACCGCGGCCCCGGAGCCGGAAGCTCATCGACCTCCGCCTGCTGCGCGACACCCGTTTCCTCGTCATCCTCGTCTCCGGCACCGTGGCCATGACGGGGTTCCTGCCTCGGTATTTCATCATTCCGGCCTCGGCCGTGTCGCAGGGCATCGACAAGGGGTACGCCGCCTGGCTGCTCGGCCTCATGAACGGCCTCTCGATCATCGGTCGCCTGGCTGTCGGCTCGTTCGCCGACAGGTACGGCAAGCTGACGGCGTTGATCACGAGCTTTGTCCTCTGCGGCGTCGGCCACGTCGTCTTCTGGCTGCCGGCCGTCATGGTTGGGGACGAGGACGAGAAGCCCGTCGCACTGATGACGCTGTTCGTCATATTTGTTGGCCTCCTCGGCTCCGGCTTCGTCAGCCTCATCCCGGTCGTCATGTCTGACCTGTTTGGGGCCGAGGATCTGGCTTCCAAGGTGGGACTGCTGAACAGCATCATGGGGCTCGGAGCCTTTGCGGGCCCGAGTGCCGTGTATGCCATCGTGTCTGATGGTCGGGACTTTAGCATGGCGGTTCTGTTTTCGGGGCTGCTGATGATTGTGGGCGGTCTTATGCTTACCCGGATGTATAGGTACTTGTGACGCCGTGTTCGCCGCAATTTACCAAGTGTACTTGTAGATTTTCCGTATTGATCTAGCTCATAATCAGCAGATGGTTGAATTTGGAACATTCATGTTGACTTCCAAGATGGCTTATTTTATCTGGTCAATCTAACTTGATGTGTGTGTAAATGATGAACCATACTTGATGAACGACGATGTGTCTAAACACCGTGGCATTAATGCTTGAGATTGAAAAAGGTATTTATATCTAGATATTTGTGCTAATGAAATTTATCTAGGTAGATCTTGATTTTCTGGCTATGAAAGTATCTTATCGCAAGAGCCCTCGTTGCTGCAACAATCGGACAGGCAGCAATCGATTCTGCTGACTAAACATATATGAGATGCTCTCACGTCGCTGTCGATGGCTGCCTTGAAGTTTCGACCAAATCCTGCTGCATCAGAACCGAAAACTCCAAATTCTGACCATAAACAGCCGTAGTGATAAAGCGTAAGCATTGCGACAGAAATTGGGCCAGGTCTGGTGATAACGACAGCTTGTGAGGTGGTCGCTCACCACCAGCCTCACTTCACCCCACTATCATCACGAAACATGACGCGACGTCTGCCATGGGCGAGGGATTCCGTCAAACCAACCAAAGGCGAAACAAAAAGCGAACCGAAAAGCCCGAGGTCACCAGCACCACCTAGAACACCGACACGCCAAACACCACAGCCCTCTCACACTCTCGCCTCACGCGCTTCAGAGAGGAAACCAACAGCATCAGCCAGAAGCGCGTCTCGCCATCCAGGTAACGAGTCCCCAGCCCCGTCAGCCATCGCCCCTCTCTCCTGACAGCCTGCCAACTAGACCGCACTCCATCAACATCACCACCGCCCCAACCGATCCCCGAAACGTAAGTGCCTCCTCTCCCTCTCGCTCATCAGTGAAGCCCCGCACTCAACCCTCCCCACGCCAGCTTCCTCATCCCCGGCTACGACCACGACGACATCTACCGCATGGTCGAGGACGAATTCCTCGTCATCGCCGGCAAGTTCACTGCCCACCTCCACGCGGCAGAGTACCACCGCCTCAAGACGCAGGCGCGCTCCCAAAACGCAGATGCCATCGCCGACATCTCCCGTCCCGTCGTCGGCTCGCTGACCGAACTGGCGAGGCGCCGCCAGGAGGACCTTCTCAGGAGGAAGAGACAGCGGCAGGCGCTCAGGCAGTCCAGGGCCGGCGACGGAGGCGAGGCCGGCGAGACGGAGGAAGAGGACGATGCGCTCTGGCGGGGGTCGTCGCTTCGCGGGCTCATGGACAGCCCGCGGAAGAGAGAGGTGAGGATCTCGGCACTGGCGAGGGCAGAGAGCAGTGCTGGAAGGGCGGGCGCCGGCTGGGATAGAGAGGGAGGGGTCCAGCGTAGGCTGAACTTTGCGGGCGAGGGCGCTGTGAAGAGGCCGCGGCTGGAGGACACGGCGGATGAGGACGAAGATGATTTGGATGTGCCGGCGAGGTCGAGGTCTAGTCCGCAACGAATGGCGGAGCTTACGTCGTCGAGACCGAAGGCGACTGGTTTTCAAGCAGCAACTTTGTCGCCTGGACACGCAAAGTCAGCTCCTGCAAAAAGCGCGGCGAAGGGCGACAATGCGACTGTTGAGACCATGGCACCAAAAAAGGTCGAGAACACAAACGATCAGCGGGATTCCGATTCCGAGGAAGATGACATTTTCACGCGATTCAAGAGCCGGCAGACAAGTGACAGACGGCGGAGACCTGTAGCCCAAAGGAAGGCGGAGGAAAAGGGTGATACGAAGGGGGATATTATTCCATCATTCATGTCATGACTGCAAGCTATGAAGAGCGGCACGCCGCTGCCACATTGTGCTCTTTAAAGCACACCAATATGATACCCACGACCTATTTTCTGCAATTCAGCAGGTATATCCTTTGCTGCGTGAGCAACCTCAAGAAAGCCCTACTTGTGATGGCTCAGCAGGCTGACAGTTGTCTGATGCCTGAATTAGAGTGCGAATAGACTGACACGTGATCCTGTCGTCGATAGTCCTTCTCGGCTCCGTGGAAGTGCGGTTGCAAGCGTTACTTGAGTAGTCCCGTGGCTGATCGTACATCATCTCTCCTGGTGACGGACATTTGGCCTTGAGGCGGGCACGACAGGGCGGGTAGCTAGAGCTGAAGTGTCCTATAACCATTCGCAGATCAAGTTGTGATCGCCGTAAGCGAAATTTCGGGTAGTTCGACCAGAGGTTGATAAGACCCTTAATGAAACTTGCTGGCGCATCAAGGCCGTACATGAGAGCAGGAGAGCCGTCGCGACAGACGCGTGCTGAAGACAACGCGAGGGACACAGCCACCGCGAGCTTATGGCGTGATAACCGTCTACGCCACCTCTGCCCTCAGATTCGCGCTGACCTGGATAGTCGATATATTCCCGTGCTGATAGGCGTTCGTCAAGCAAGGCGGAAATGGCGACAGGGACGGTCGTCGCCAGTTGAGGTATAGCCCTTGTCTTCTTCGAAGCCGCTCACACATCTTTCAAGAAATGGGACTTGAACTTCCTGCCCGCACGATCGGCACCGCGAACAAGAAACTGGTCGCCCATGATCTCAAAGGCAAACGTATTGGACGAGACGGCAGCGGTAGCGGGTGGCGCATCTGTCGCAGTCCCAGCAGCTCCTGTGGCTTCCTCCGGGTCCGCCACAGGCACCTCGACCCGGAACATGGTGCCCTCTTTCGGAACGAGCTTGACCTTGTTCTGCGCTGTCACGACCTCGAAAGTGAACCTCGCGTCCTTCAGGACAATTCCCTTGATGCCAACACGGCTGGGGCAATTACTCCGCACAACCTCGATCTCAGCCCCGTGAAACTCGGCAGCGCTCAGTTTCGCAGCGGCACCAGGTCCACCGTAGACCTCGCCGCCGAGGACCTCGCGGACGTAGCCAAGCCAGAGGCGGTGCAGCGGCACATAGGTCGCGTACTTCTGTCCCTGGCGCGGGATGGTGTGAAGACCGAGGGCGCGGCGCTGACGTGAGGAGAGAGGAGCGGGTCGCTTTTTCGAGCGCGCTTTGTATTCTTCGCGGGCCAGACGGCGTGCTTTCCGCGCATTGGATGGTGGTGGCGGAGATGTAGGGCGGAGATGGAGGTTGCGATATTGAAGCTTTTCCGTGTAGATGCGGGAGACGGTGTCGGGGGAGTGGGCGCGCGCGAGGAGCGATTGGGTAAACTCGGCAGAGGTATCTGGAGGCATGACGATGATTCGGGATGTGTGTGGTGTGAGAGTTTGTCGGGTATTGCGCAGGTTGGTCGAAAGATGGCAAATGAGATATGCTGGTCTTGGTGTTGCGGTCCTCAGCAGTGAGTCTTTCCGCCAAATAAAATATCGACCTGGCTGGCTCTGACGACAGTGGGGAAGGAGCTACCGAGCTGCACTGCAGGCATGCAAGAACTACTGACCCGCACCTGCCCGCAGCTTCACATGTCGGGGGTGGCCCGTGCCCGCCCCTTCGGCTCGATGACGGTCCACTTTCCGCCCTCGGCACTGGCAGCGCGGGCAAGTGGCACGAGCATGGGGCAGGCATTGACGACGAACCACTACCTCTTAACGCTCATGTCATTGTAATGTCGAGCCCCCTGCATCGAGCCCTCCTCACCCCATGATGGTGGCGAGACTGACAGTCGCTTTATCAACTCGGGGTTTCCAGGCTGCGGCTTTGTCCACACCATTATCACAGCGAATTGACGACGCCTGACTTACCGCGACCTACACGGCTTGTCTACCTCGCATTGAACACAACTCCCAGCCGGCCCTGCCCCCCCACGGCCCATCATGGCAGACGACGACCCCAGGAGCACCTCTGCTCCCGACCTCCAGATCCTCGGCGACAACGTCACCCTCCAACCCAGCGGCTATCTCAAGCCGAGCAACACCCGCGACAATGAGAAAGAGGAGGCCCTCATGAAGCACATGGCACGCTTCCGTTCCGAACCTCTACAGTTCCTCCGCGAAGTCTCCCTCTACGTCTCTGGCACCGGCTGGCGAGCCTACGACAATCCCATCGGCCAACCCGTGTTCTACAATGGCTTCAGCGATAGAATGAAAGACTGTGTGCTGTCGGCGCCGCTCCTACAGGACCGTATCCGCGACCTCGCCGACAAGCGCATTGCTGTCGAGGAGAAGGAGGGCCTTTTGAGCAGAAATGACCGTGACTATGCGCTAAAGCGGGCGCAGAGGCGCGCAGTCATCGAGTCGGGAATACAAGAGGTCGCAGAGAAGATGACGGACGACATGATCTGCAAGATGGAGAGCAAGACGTTCATCCGCGGCGCATACTACTTCGCGACCCAGCTGACGCTTCGGGCGTACCACCAAGGCATCCACGTGTCGAGCGAAGAGGTGCTGCGGTTGAGAAAGGTCGCTGAGGAGGCCCAGCGGAACAAGCAGAGCATCATATTCTTGCCGTGTCATCGGTCGCATGTCGACTATGTCTCGCTGCAGCTCATTTGCTACCGCTTGGGACTGACGCTGCCCACAATCGTGGCTGGTGACAACCTCAATTTCCCTGCCGTCGGTAGCTTCCTCCAGCATGCTGGCGCTATGTGGATCCGGCGCTCGTTTGGCGACGATATTCTGTACACAACATTGGTGCAAACATACATCGATACTCTCTTGCAGCAGGGCTTCAATTTCGAGTGCTTCATCGAAGGTGGCCGCTCGCGCACAGGAAAGTTGCTACCACCAAAGTATGGAATTCTCAGTTTTGTTCTCGACAGTATCCTGTCTGGACGAACCAAGGATGCCATCATCTGCCCTGTCAGCACACAGTACGACAAGGTCATTGAGACCGAGAGTTACGTCACTGAACTGCTCGGCGTGCCCAAAAAGAAGGAGAACCTGGCGGATTTCCTAACTGGCGGCTCGTCCGTGCTGTCCTTGAAGCTCGGCCGCGTTGACGTGCGCTTCCACGAGCCGTGGAGCCTTCGCGGCTTCATTGACGAGCAGCTGACAAGGATTGCCAAAGTGCCTCAGGGATTGAGCTTGGATGTAAAGAACCCCGAAAATGTCGGCATCCGGCTGAAGCTCCTCCGAACTCTCGGATACAAGGTTCTCGCCGACATCAACGACGTATCTGTTGTTATGCCGACGGCCCTGATCGGCACCATCCTGTTGACACTACGAGGCCGCGGCGTTGGCAAGACGGAGCTCGAGAGGCGTGTGCAATGGCTCACCGATCGCGTCAGGGCAAAGGGTGGCCGCGTGGCTCACTTTGGCAATGCACCATTATCGGAGATCATTGAGCGGGGCCTGGAGGTGCTTGGCAAAGATCTGGTCGGTGTCGTCGGTGGCCTCCCAGAGCCGACATACTTTGCTGTCGACCGCTTCCAGCTATCGTTCTACCGCAACATGACCATCCACCTGTTCATCTCTGAGGCCCTGGTCAGTGCTGCCATGTACACAAAGGTCAAGCAGGGTGGCGGCCCCTCGACGCAGGATATCCCTATTGAAGAACTGTTGGCTCAAATTCAGTTCCTCTCTTCCCTGTTCCGTGGAGAATTCATCTTCCCCAGCGAGGGCTTGGCAGCGAACTTGGAAAAGAGTCTGCACGGGCTGGAGAGGGATAACATTATCACTGCTGAGAGAGATGACGCAGGCAAGGCAATTAAGATTGGTCTGTCGGCCGAGGAAAGGGCAGCGGGCCGTGAAAACTACGACTTTTACTGCTTCCTGATCTGGCCGTTTATCGAGGCGAGCTGGCTGGCGGCCGTGTCCCTGATGGGGCTGACGCAGCCTCTGGACGAGAAGGAGGACATCTGGATCGAGGTCGCCAAGGCGCAGAGCAGTGCCCAGCTGGTAAGTAGCACCATGTTGACGCTCACTGTGACGACTTTATACTGACTTCTCATAGCTCGGAAAAACACTCTATCACCAAGGTGATTTGAGCTACTTTGAAGCCGTCAACAAGGAAACGCTCAAAAACTCTTACCAACGCTTCGAGGAAGAGGGAATCCTTCAAGTAGTCAAGTCCAAGGACCCCAAGGTCCCACCACGCCTGCGCCTGAACCCAGATTGGAAGCCCTCACGCGACCCTACGACGGGCGAACTTGTTGCCGACGGGCGGCTGTGGGAGTTTACCGAGAAGATCGCCAGCAGTCGACGTGAAGGAAAGAATAGGCGCGACGGCGCGACGGTCAGCACGAGAGTGCTGAGACTGACGGATCACTTGGGCGGCCAGCTGTTCGAGGCGGCCAAGGGACAGGAGGGCGCGAGTCGGTTGAGCAAGGAGGATTCCAAGATTTTCATCAAGGGCTTGAAGGACAGGAAGAAGAGGAAGAGCTTTGACGGGCGGGCGCATTTGTAGGCGGGCAGAGCGAGTTTTTTTATTGATGCTTGTTGATGTTGGTGTACACCCACCCATACAGGGACCATCATGGCAATACCCAATGTAACTGTACTTTGCTTCACGCTGCGTTGATTGGTCTCACATCAAAGGGAATGGAGTTCACTTTCTAGACAAGTCTGGCTCATGGCTTCGAATAACACCGTGCTGTGGTGTCGCCTCCATCTATTAATTCGATTAAAGCCCAGATATATGTACAAACACAACAAGGCAGCCGTTCAGGACGCCTTTGGCGGCAGGATGATGTTATCAATCAGCCTCACGGCCGGGCCTCCGCTCAAACCGAGATCCTCGCCCTCCTTCGGCGCCTCGACCGGCAACATCTTGACGGCCCCGCACAGAATAGCCCCCCTCGCAGGGTCAATGGCCACGATATCCTCCATCGTATCCGGATCCGTCAGCGAGATGTAGTCGACCTCAAACCGAACTCGATCCTCCGCCGCCAACGCAGCCTGCTCAGCAGCCACCTTGTCCGTGACGGCCCTCGCGGCAGCGAGGACAGCCCCGGCCTCGAGCTCGCCGCCATCGTACGCACCCTCGGCGGCCTGCAGGGCGCGGTGCAGCACCGTCGCGGCGGCGCGCCGCCTCTCGCCGAGGTAGACGTTGCGGGAGCTTAGGGCGAGGCCGTCGGGCTCGCGGACGGTGGGCACGACGACGACCTCGGTGGGGAAGAGAAAGTCGCGGACGAGGCGGCGGATGACGACGGTCTGCTGGACGTCCTTCTGGCCAAAGTAGACCTGCTGCGGCTGAACGGCGTTGAAGAGCTTGGCGCAGACGGTGGCGACGCCGCGGAAGAAGGTTGGGCGCGAGCTGCCCTCGAGGCGGGCGGCCAGGGGTGTGATGGTGACGAAGGAGCCCGGCGAGTCGATGTCCTGGCCTGGGAAGCCGCCGGGGTAGAGCTCCTCGGTGGAGGGCGCGAAGACGGCTGAGATCTTGCCGAGGACATCTGGATCGTCGGCGAGGGAGCGTGAGAGGCGGGCCAGGGCTGCGGCGTCGGCGTCCCAGGTGCGCGGGTACGAAGCCAGGTCCTCCTTGGGACCAAACTGGGCCGGGTTGACGTAGAGGGAGACGATGACATTGTGGGACGCGAGAGCGGCGGCGCGAATGAGAGCCAGGTGGCCGGCATGCAGAGCGCCCATCGTGGGCACGAGGGAGAGGGTGCGGTGATCGCGGGTCAGGGGCGCCGTGTGGGCGCGCAGAGCAGCGACAGTGCGGAGGACGCAGATGGATGAGTTGGGGATTTTCTCGGGAGCTACCGGCGCCGGGAAGCGCGAGGGTCTTGATTTGGCGGTCGAACCGCATGCTGAGCGGACGGATGTGCTTGATAATGGGGCCATCTGCTTGAGGATTGGCTGTGAAAGGGGTAACCTTGATGGTGTGGTTGAAGATGAGAGTGACAGGGCGGCACGTTGCCGCGGCGCGGACCGGAGTGCGCGAGCCAACATTTTTGCTGCCGTCCGTGACGTGATGTCCGTTTTTTTATAAGTTCCAATGAGGGAATTGGCGGACCAAAGCGAGGAATCGGTGTTTAATACGTGATAAGCTGTGATGGTAGCTGCCGCGGAGTTTTGAGGACGACCAGACCGAAACGCGAAGCTGCGTCGGCTGAGGTTTTCGGTAGGTCGGTGAGAGATCGTGTTCTCGGTGTCCGGTGAGATGACTCATCCAGTTACCAGTTGGCTTCCGTTCAACTTGAAGATCAAGCCGATTCGTTCTTCTACCTTGTCAAGTATACCCTGTAAGACTCAAGATATGTGAGATTGCCGATGTCCAGACCGATATTACATGCGACATGACATCTTTTGCCAGCGCAGCAGCCTATCCTGTCCCACCATCGCTGCAGAGCCTGTCCACTCCCTGTACCTGATTAAAGGTGAGTGATCTCTGGGTCGCTCCCCACCTGCGGCTGCTTGCATCTGGGCTTCCACCATGGTAAATCGGCCGACGGCGCAGGGCTCCGGGTAACGTCCGGGAAACGGGGTCAGACCGGGGAATGGGTGGCGGCAGCATCGTTGTGAGACCCGTGTCACCTAGTGCGAGCTTGGCGGCAAGCCCAGATGAGCGACCCCTTGGCTCCCTGCATGGGCTACGCGCCGTGACGGATGACAAAAAAAAATGAGAAGACACAGGCTATGGTCAGTCAGAGCGAGGGCGAGGGCGGAAGCGAGTGCCACGCTTGCCAGACTGTCTACAGAAAGGCGGCAGAGAGGCGGCAGAGAATTTGGCAGCTTTCGTTTCAAGGTTGACGTTTCGCAGGCTTGTCCAGCCTTGGCGCTGCTTCGTCTCTCTCTCTCTCTCTCCTTTGTGAACATAATACTGTCGTTATGAAAAAGACCTTGCGCCGGCTGGAGGAGGAGCCGGCTACGCTTACTGCTTTGGCAACAACATGTGGCTCAATAGAAGGTGAGATTTATGGCTCGGACGAAACGTATCGCGGTTATTCTTGTCGCGGGTTTCTTGGCAGCTCATCGTTGGCCGAATGGGGAAGGGCAACACGTTACGATGAGATGCGGCCGCGGGGAAGATCATGTTGAGGGTGGTCGGATCGACCGTCCCAGCCCAAGGTACCGGACGATCAAACGGGACGGTCTTGGCGGGGATTCCTGCTTTGATGTTTCCGCTTCTGAGTTCGAGCATAGTAGGCTGTACTATGTTTCTGTTGGTCTTATTGACAGCGGTATTCCGTATTCCTGGGTCTGGCCTGCAGCTCTCGTTGCTAATTCCGGCAATCGAGGAACCAACCGGACCAGCAGATGAGGGTTGAGTCGACGAATGGTCAATACAATCAAGATCGCGACTAACGCGTATGTCCTGAATCTAACGAGTCAAAATCACCGTCGTCTCAAAATGCTTCTTGGCTGGCAACAACACACGCACAGACGGGGCGCAGCACTGCGGGTAAGTCGAGACGAAGCACATCTCTGACAGTCCCGACTTTGATGAAGCAGTCAGCGAGGAAATGCTTTAGAGTTAATCCACTGCCGGGGCGAGCCATGCTTCTGCTGGTTGCAGCTGTGGAGATGTCGCGTGGTATCTCCATCATCTCCCAGTGTAAGGTACGTACGCACCTACGGTAAGGTGTGCTAGGTCGTCCACGGGTGAAGCTGGGGAAATGGCGAGTGGTAAGGCGAGCCAAGGCGTGAGGGGTTGGCTGGACCATGGTGACACTTTGTTGTGTGACGTGAGTGAGGATCTCCCCCCAGCTGAGGATATGGTGTCTCCAGAGTGGTACCAGTTCCCCCTTCCTCAAAATGCAACGCCTTCCCATGTTGCCGTCTTTCGCTCCCGACATGGGCTTGGACCGACACTCTCCTCACATTTCGCTGAAGAACGAACACACGATACAAGAAAGAACATACAGGGCATCTTAAAAAGTGGAACTCAGGGGAACCAGATCTTCTGGTTTGCAGACGGTATCGCACCATTCCCCTTCAGGCCAGAAGCGAGGCGCTACCGGGCAAAGAAGGCGACGAGAGGGAAGGGACGGACGCTCCACACTTGCCTGCCCGTTGGGGGTTTCTTGCCTGTCCAGTACAGTCAGTGCCTGTCACTTTGCCGGGGTGGGGGACTGCCGCCTGCTCTCGTCGTTGGCCAACCCTACCTGTTCCGACCCCGAATCTCGAGTGGTCCTTCCTCCGAGGCTACGCTACCTGCGCTGCATGCGCTAACGGAAAGGGCCTTTTCGTTCTCGCCTCTTCTTCCTCTCTGGTCGACCTCTGACCTGACCCGACTCAATTCGGTTCGATCTCACCATCATTTTGAACGACCGTTGTCACCGCCTCGACAGCCACGATACGATCGCGCCCGTCTACGACGAGTTGCCGCGACGATTGACTCGCCTGCGCTCTGCGTCCTGCGCTCTGAGATTGCGCCCCTCCCCCCCTCGCTCGTCATTTCCTCCGCCCACCCGCCATAACTCATTTCCCACGTTGCGTCTCCTCGAATTCCCCGTCTGGGCCTCTCTGTCATCACCAACAGCCCATCAAACGACATCGCCCGAAAGCAACAAGGACGCGACCTCTCGACGGCGGACTGGCGATCGCAACACCGTCGGCCTCACTGCATACGACGTTCAGCTCTTGGAAGCCTTGACTCGCTCAATCGACGCCGCTTCATTGATGGTCTTCGCTTCAACGTCTGCATCAATTGCGCCATCACGGTGCTCACTCCCTGAACGAGGGGCACACCGATAGCATCACTCATTCATCGCAGACACATCGTGTCGCTCGCTGCTCCTGACAGACATCGACATCAGTCGCCGACTACCAATCGCCTGTTGAGGTGCTGTCTCTGCCATCAACTTCGGCTACCTTTCTTTCTCTTTCGTGTCGCAAATTCTCACCCGGAATCGCCTTTTCACTCATTGCCAAGCTCACCTTGCTTCGCGCCAAGCGTTTCGTCTGCCAGTCGATATCTCCGTCATCTCGCACCCGTTTCCCACCCAGTCTTTCCAACAAACCCCAGACGAGGAAGCGCTGGAGGTCTTTGACGTCTCTTTGGGCGTATTCATCCTTGATTTGGGCCCCGGAAACCGCCAAGAGCCGGCTCTCTCTCTCTCAACTCACCTTTCGAGGCCTCGTACCACCGACTCTGCCACAAGACATCGACACCTTACGCGTTGGCCGACGAATCACCTCTCACCATGAATCTTCCCAGCTCTCACATTCCCAACCGCCGCAGTAGCAGTATTGGCTCGCTGACACCTGTGCGCGACCTCCTATGCACTCCCCCTCAGAAGGCTATCGCTGCGACAGCCGTTCCCACCAAGTCGAGGCGGGTGCGGACTGGCTGCCTAACTTGCAGGGAGCGGCACTTAAAATGCGACGAAGGGACACCAGATTGTCTAAACTGTCGGAAGAGCAGTAGAGAATGCAAGCGCGGCGTTCGGCTTAATTTTATCGATGTCCAGGTCAAGAAGCCCCCACGCTTGCTTCCCCCCACCGTGGAATGGTCTGTTCAGTTCCAGGACGAGTCTCGCCAAATCGCCTCAGAATACGTTGGCGGACTCAAGCGCTATGCCCACCTCCCAAAGAACCCAGCGGCCCCTGCCCGTCGCCACCGTGGCCACCTCGACCCAACTCTCCGCCGTCAGGCTCACCAGCATCGTGTGCACGCAGCCAGCGTAGCAGATGCCTCCCTTCCGCCTCCTCCCACTCATTTCCAGATGCCTCCCGCACCGGCTCTCTACGGCTACCCACCGGTGCGCAACCATCCTGACGACCGCGATGCTGCTTTGCAACATGCAACAGACGCACCATTCCCAACGCCGCAAAACTCTGGACAAGTGCAACAACCTTACGCCTTCTCCCTCCAGGACCATTTCAACGCCATGCGCGAAGAGACTGCTGCCCGTCATCACAACCACCGCACGAGTGACACCTCGTCGTCTGCGACCTCGATCGCCCCGCTGGCTACCGGACCGCCTCCTTCATTCCGTGGTGTCGCCCACAACACTCTTGCTCTCGATGGTATGATGACGCCGCCGCCATCGGAGAAGGCGGTCGCAGGTGAGCGAGAGTACCTGAATTCGCCTGAAGAGATACACTATATGCAGGTTTTTGTTGAGGAGGTTGGTATTTGGATGGACAGCCTCGACAAGGACAAGCATTTTAGTCGGCTCATTCCCTACCACTCGCTGAAGTGTCCCATGTTACTGAACGCTTTCCTCGCATGCGGCGTCAAGCACCTCACCCTGACGCACCCGGATTGCAAAGACGACAAGGCTCTACACTACTACGATACCGCGACGACGCAGCTCTTGAGAAGTCTACAAAATCCGGACCGAAATACTGCCGAGTGCGCAACGACGGCCGTTGTGTTGAACGTTTACGAAATCATGTCGGAGAAACCGGGTCAGAGGATGCGCATGAATCACATTGCGGGCGCGCGGGCACTGATTCGGGAGTGCGGTTGGGATGCGCGGTCGACAGGCATCGGAGCGGCCTGTTTCTGGTTGAACATTGGCATGGAAGTGCTGTCGTGCCTCGCATTCAACTGGCAGACATCCTGGGATCCCGATCAATGGGGACTTAATCTTGACTTCGCAGACAAGCCGGAGATGGGAGCCTCGGGTGGTGGCGATGAAGAGGAGTGGGTGCACCGCATTTTCTACATTGTTGCACGAATCGCCAACTTTCGGGCGTCGATTCCGAAGTTCCAGGAAGCAAGCCCGCATGATGAGCAAATCCGTCTGGGTAACCGGCTGGCGCTGTGGCAGGAACTTAAGAGGCTCTGTGACAGGTGGAACAACGCATGCCCAAGGACGATGCATCCATTTGGTTATCTTTACCCGACGCACTCGCGGAGCAAGTCTGCGTTCCCTAACGTTTGGTACGTCTCAGCCATCACTGCTAGTTATATCTGACGAGTCTGGTCTCTCCATTTGACAACCAGTTGCTGACAAACATCAGGCTCATCAAACGCGCCGCCATCATCGGCCGCCTCTTTTACCACACTGCTCAGTGCATACTGGCACAGACAAATCCCATGGAGCCGGCTCGGGCCTCTGAAGAGATGCGTGTTCTGCAGCTACACCACGCACACCAGGTCTGCGGTATCGTCGCGCACACGCGTGACCGCGGCATCGCTTCTGTGGCGATTCGCAGTCTTGCCATTGCGAGCGCAGTGTTGACGGACCCCAGAGAGCAGGAGGAGGTCCTTTGCATTCTTGAGAGGATCCAAACGGAGAGCGGCTGGGGTCTTGGGTCTGTCGTCGGTGAGCTAAAGAGGGGTTGGGGCTGGGGAGACAGAAGCCCCCTGGCCATGTTCTACGAGCAGGACCCACAGCAACACCAGCAGCAGCAGCAGCAGCCACTGCTTCAGCAGCCACAACAAACTGCTGCAGGACCCGTGGCAGGCCACTCCGGATCAAAAGTGAATCCGCTGTCATTTGCGGACTTCAGCCTGCCAAACCACCCGTACCAGAACTGGTACGAGCCGCCCAACAGGACGAACGGGTTCGCGCCGCAGGGGCTGTTGTAGTCAGAGTCATGGCGATAGCGAGGGATTTGGCCGGCGGGATACTGGCTGTCCTGAGGCATAGATGGGGTAGAAGTGGAGTTCTGGATCGGTCTTGTTCGAGAGCGTTTCTTACGGGCATTTTGGCTGGATGGGACATGAGCGTCATTCTTCACTGGGTACGTGATACCATATATGACGAGGGGGACAGGTTCTGGTTTGCATGGTCTTGGTATATTGGTCTATGAGTGTGCCGAATGGTTGAATGAATGTCCGATATCGGACGCGTGCGGTGCTGTGCTTTTATGCTGCTAATTGCGGTCTTTCTGTTCTATCTGTCGTGATTCGTACGTTTGGTGAGCGAGTTTTATATGCTGGTGTCCAGGAGGCAGAAGACCAAGACAGCTGGCCTGGCTGAGCTCCTTTCCTCTGGGGTTGAGTAACCGTCATCATCAGTCCGACTTGACAACCTCGATGCCATACTTGGCATAGGGGAAGCCCTCGAGCGTCTCGAGGTACTCAGCCCAACCGTCGTCAAGTTCGCCCACTTGGTGCATGTCAACGTCGCCCGCCTCGCCCGTCCGCCCAGCCAGCACCTCGGGCTCGCGGCCCGCGTACTCCTTCTTGAGCATGGGATGCGGGCACCAGATGACGCGCATGCCGGCGCGCCGCCCGGCCTCGACGCCGGGCACCGAGTCCTCAAAGACGAGACACTCGTCAGGCGTCACGGGGGCCTCGCCGGCGGGCAGCGACGCGTTGATGGTGGCGAGGGCCAGCAGGAAGATGTCCGGGTGGGGCTTGCCGCGGCCGGGGGCGATGCGGGGGTCGTCGCCGAGGACGCGGCGGTGCGGCGCGAAGCCGGCGAAGAGGGGCTGCAGGTGGGACGTCTTGAGGTCAAAGTTGGCCGTATGCGAGGACGTGGCGAGGGCCGTGTGCAGGCGCGGCGCGGCCTCGAGGGCGCGCAGCAGCGCCGGCACGCCCGGCAGGGGCGCCGCCGAGGGGAAGTGCTGCTGCTGCAGGGCCGTGTTGGCGGCGAGGTACTCGGCGGGCGTGATGGGGAGCTGGGCCCACTCGTGGAAGATGGCGGCCGAGGCTGGGCCTGGGCGGCCTTGGAGGCGCGCCTTGATGGACCAGGGCAGCTCGGGGCGGCCGTGCGTTGCGAGAATGAGGTTCGTGCAGTGTGTGTAGAGGTCTTCGGTGTTGAGGAGGAGGCCGTCCATGTCGAAGATGCAGGCGCGGACTGGGGGGAAGCTTGTGATCGTCGTGTTAGCTGTTGGTCTTGCTAGGGGCAGGGGGAGGGGGAGGATTGGCATTGACGGACTCTGTGCGCGGCGCCATTGTGATGGTTGTTGTGTGATGCCGTGGGCGCTGTTATCGTCCAGTTGAAATGGCAATGGCTGTTCTCTGAAGATATATCCAAGACGTTGAACGGGGTGACTCAGGGGGGTGGTTGTTCCTGCAGATAGAGAAGGTCAGGCCTGTGGAGGAGGGGCCAGGCCGATCAAGCATGTGCCCCGCGGTATATTTTCTTATCTCGATTGGAGGGGTCAAAGATCGAGCCTTAGCCTGCCGATAAGTTGCCTCGTTTGTCCGTTAGCCCCCCGCTCGTCTGTTTGCTGCATGAGATGCATTTTACCCACTCATGGCCATCCGCTCTCTCATCATTCTCCCGTCAACAGCAGGAAGGCCACTCCGAGATGGCCGCAACAGAAGAAAAGGCCAAAGCGGCAGCCGACCGCGAGGAGAAGAACATCGAGAATGACGGTCAAGAGACTGAGGCGGTCGAGAAGTTTCCGCCCGAGGAGGAAGCAGTACGTGAACGAACATTCTGAGCTCAATGTCCCGGCCTGTCGGAATCCCCCCCTGCTAAAACGACGCAGGCCCTCTTAGCCGAATCCAACACGAGCAAGACTGAGGCAAACTCTCTGTTTGCTTCGTCAAAGTATGAGGCCGCCATCACAAAGTATGACGAGGCAGTTGCCACGTGCCCCAACTATCTCGATTATGAGCTCGCCGTCCTGCGGTCCAATATCGCCGCCTGCCATCTCAAGCTCGAGCAGTGGAAGGAAGCCGTCTCGACGGCTACCGCTGCCCTCGACGGTCTCGATCGCATCGATAAGGAGGAAGCCCTGCGCGTCGACGAGGCAGCCAAGGCCAAGGCCGCCGAGGACGACGTGGAGGAGGAAATTGTATCGTCCGGCGCCGGCAACGCGGCCACGGCTCCCATAGAGGAAGACGAAGAGGAAGCGAAACGACGGAAACGCAAGGAAGACGTGCTGCGCATCCGGGCCAAGGCACTCATGCGCAGAGCAAGGGCCCGCAGCGAAAAGGGGGGATGGTCCGACCTTTCGGGGGCGGAGGAGGACTACAAGTTCCTTGCGCAGATGAAGAACCTGGCTCCCGCCGATGCGAAGCTTGTCAGGACGCAACTGAGGTTGCTCCCGCCGAGGACCAAGGCGGCGCAGGAGAAGGAGACGGCTGAGATGTGGAGCAAGTTGAAAGACGTGAGTGACCTAGAGCCCGACCGGAGCCCGGCCACTGAAGGCAGACGCTGACAAACCTATAGCTGGGGAATGGCATCTTGAAGCCGTTTGGATTGAGCACTGAGAACTTCCAGATGGTCAAGGACGAGAAGACGGGAGGATACAGCATGAACTTCAACCAGGGAGCAGGCAAGTAGACTGTCGCATCAGCATTTCTGTCCCACCGTATTACAGCATCAGCAACACGTACCTTGAAATAACACCATTTACACAATCTCAATGCAACGTTCAGATGTGCAGCAACGACTTATGGCCTGGGAAGTTGGTCGTCACCATCTTCGAGTAAGCTTTGTTCTAGAAGCAGGGAGTCAGATGACTCGGGTCCTCACTCTATGCCGACGCCTCTTTTGCACGCCGATGAGGTCGGAGGACTGGTGGAGGGCTCCGGCATGATTAGTGACGTTTGGGGACAGGTTCGCTGAACACAGCTTCTCAGACACCCTTGACGCCAGGTCCCTGGAGCCTGGAGTTCGCCGTATGCGTGCTTCCCCAGACGCCACACTTGACAACAGCACTTTCGGTGGTTCTACTTGCATGTACCAGGTGATAGCCCCCACATGTCCTATACAGACCTCATACAGGCCTGGTGAAATGTGAGTCAGATGCCGCCGGATGACATCCGGACATGGTCAGTATCTTGTGCTCCTTGCCCCAAGTGTTGGAACTTACGCAAAGCATCGAAGATAAGGCGTGAAAGAATTGGAGAGCAGCTCACATACCCAGACTTTCGGTCGATCTGCATCACCGGATCTCTCCGGCGGCCAGCGGCATCAGCGGTCACAAAGCGTCAGCCTACCAACGCATCGTATGACGCAACCTAGACCTTCAGAAACTGACAAGCAAAGAACAATCATTCCAAGGAGAAAACAAAAAAAGCTAAATCGATCCATGCAGAACAGGCAATCGGGTCAGCTCTTCTTCCAGTCTGACGATTGGGCCCGGCCGATCGCTGGCTGGGCTGGCTGAATTCCTGTTCCGCCCGATTGCGAGTTGGTGAGTGGCACCACCCGCCGGGTGCGACCGAACCACTCTCTGGCCAGAACCACACCACTTTGCGCCCGGCGCTGCGCAATCGTCGAACGGCGCACCGCACCACCGTCGAGATGTCATCGCGGAGAGACGCGATGGACGATTTTATAAATACTGAATGAGGCATCATGGGAGGTTCGGTTTTGGTTGGAATCATCGACATCGACATCACATTAACCAGCCTACCGCCTGCGCCAACCGCTGCAAGACACCACTACATCAGTTCCCGTCTACCTGACACGACACCAAACCAAATATGACTTCTCGAATCGTTCGGCTTCACGCCTCGACTACTCCTCCTGCCATGATGAAGTATGCTACCTTCTCCTAATTATTCTCTTCTATCAGCTCGCTAATAAAAGGCAACCAGGTATGGCCCTGCCCTCATGGTCGGCACATCCATCGCTGTCGTCGGCAGTTTCATCGCCAGCCAACTCACGACATCTTCACGCAACCTGGATCGCGCCTTTGCCAAGTACAACAGCCCCCAGAGCGAGGCGTCCCGGAAGCGCAGCTTTGAGGGCGCGCCCGACCCGAGGACGAACTTACTCAACTGCCTGGGATGGAAATAGGCTGCAAAGAGGATACACCTGGGGTTGAAGAGCGAACGTGAGAAGGTTTCAAGGCGTTTTTGGGAGGTCACTTTAGGAGTTGCACATTTGAGCTGCAATCATAGCTCGGTAGCTTGGAGTTGAAGAGGCATTGTATGCAACTATCTGTATGTTCATGTCACCGTACCACGTGCTTGGAAACATCTCATGCAACTCATAATTAATGTGCCTGGCAGGATAGTAGCTAGGTACACCGCAATGCCGCATCGGAAAATTCTCAGAAGGAGAAAATGACACCGGCGATGCCGTCATGATCCCTTGTCCTCCAGTGTTCGCTTTGCCCATTACGGCTCTACCTGGATCAGGCCAAAGTTTGGCCACACTAGGCCTTGTCCATTTCTATGGCTTGACCCAGGCTGTCTTGGCAATTATTAAGATGCTTTTGCATATCACCGACAACCCCGATCCAAGAAGCAAGACGTATTTTCAGATCTCGATTCCCGGTAGCGAGACGGTCCTTTTCTTTTTCGATCTCGCCAACAATGGCACGGAGCTGGCGAACCTCGTCGTCTAGCTTGTCAATCATGGCCTCGCGTTCGCGAGTTCCGTTATTGCGAGAGTTGTTTTCGGGAACGGCCAGGGTCAAAGACGATGACTGGTTATATTGACGCTGGGGGTTGGCCACGAGCAGACCGGCCTGAGTCGTAGCGGCATGGCTCGTGGCTGCAGCGGGCTGGTTCGCCATACGAGCCTGAACTCGGGCCCGGCGAAGGGCCTTCTGTTCGGCCCTCTTCTTGGCCAATTTCTTAACTCGATCTCGGGTTGTGTCGGACAGGAGAGGCCGGGTCTGGCGCGGGCCCAACGGTATGAGCTCGTCATCCGCCGAGCTGCCTCGCTCAACGTCATCATCATACTCGTCGTCAAGCTCGCCCGTGCCATGTTCCACGCGAGTCCCAAGATCTGGACTTGCGCCTGCGTTGCGGGTTGCGATTGAAGCTCCGGTGCGTCCGCTCACTGGGTCTGTGGCAGCACATTCGATAGATGGCAGCGCCGTCTCTTCCTCGGCCGTCATGGGCGGCAGATCCAGAGCGCGGGCGATTCCGGCGCGGTAGCGAATGGATTCGGGCTCTTTGGCTATGCATAGCGGCAGCTTGCCGCCGTGCTGGGCTGTCATGACTGTGATGGCTATGATTTCCGCTTCAGTGCAGCGCCCTTTCCGGACTCGACCCCAGCTCTTCAGCGTGCTGAGGCTGTTGAAGGATACGACCTTCGAAGTGCCATTCTTGTTGGAGCGCCTGGATTGATTGGGGAGCTGGCTTTCCTGGAGTATTTCGCCGCCCTGTTGTTCCAACAGCATGGGGATTTCGAGACCATTCTCAAGAGCTTCGTTCAATACATCCGTCCACAGCTTGTGAGTCCTTACTCCATCATTCCAGTCATGGTCTTTGAGCCGATTCATGACTTTTTCTTCCACATAGAAAGATAGAGGGAAAAGCAGCTCTATAGTATACGAATGTACTAATAGAGTATTAGAGGTTAAAGTGGAGGTAGGTGTGAACGCTTGATGGCAGGTGAGGAAGGTGTGCACTCAGGCGAGAGGGTTCGGCAGGAGTAGCAAGAGAGGAAGGAATACGAGTTAGGTCAAGCCTGAGTTGATCAGGATAGAATTTAAATCAAGGGCTAGGCAACTATGCTAGCTAGTCACGTTACCTCTAACTCTTTTCCAGATCTTACCATAGTTGCCTGAACATAGTACCTTCTTAACTTTTACTAGATTCACGAGTTTCCATGGGACTAGCATGTACATGCAACTAACTCTAGAGAAAACATATTTTCATGCCTATTACTATGTCCTTGTAATATGATTATAATTCTAGCCTTGAGTATGTTTGTATTTGGTCTTTCTTACTAGAGCAGGATGTCCCCTTTGATGTTTGTCTTATGAGTACACGCCTATCTTTGATACCTACCTTAAATGCCTAAGTAGGTGGCTCAATAAATGCCAGCAGTCCCTGCCGACATAGCATCCCATAAAAAGCTGACTCGACACCAGCGTCTGAGTTGCATTACAAGAACTCTGAGCACAAGTCTTTTGCCATGATCCAGAAACTTCTCGTCGTCGTAGCCTCGCTCGTATTGATGGAGTCCCCTCTGACGTCCCGGTAATGCCCCCGCCGTGCTGGAGACAGTTCGCATGGCATGCAATCCCCGTATTGATGCTTGGAGACACAACCAACCTCGTCGCCTCTATGTCGCGTGAATTCCACCTTGGTGAAGATATGCAGGCTAAAACTGTGGTCATTGGCAAAACGACCTTGGTCCCTCGATGCGAGCTGATGACTTTCTGCTCAGAAAGCTATGAAAGGTCTGCCAGCACTAGAATGGAGTGAGGGATCCGTGCAAACATCATCATATCAAGAGCTGACAGGGCTTCTGCGCGACCATGACACAGTGTATATGGCCATTTGACCCGAGCAACATCTTTGATTAAGGGCTAATCTAAGTGCAGGTTAGTCGAGTTGCGGCCGTAGAAACAGTGAGTTTAGGGGATAGCCTATTTAGAAAGCAAACATAGAGAAGTCTAGGAGGACTTACTTAGTCACTTAAAGATACTCTTAAACGTGAAATGCAACCTAAAGCATAGACTAGTAAGGGGATGCATTGCTATGATTAGTTGAGAGGTAGTAGAGTATAGCTTAAAGTCGAGAAAATACATTATGCAGGGACTATTGAGGAAAGATATTAGGAAATGAATATAGAGCTACCTTAGTAATAAGTCTATATTAAGTACTCGTTTAATAAGCGCCCCGAATGATGCGAGGGTTTATTTTATAGATGAATATCTAAAGAATACCTTTATAAAAGAGAACTTCTATTAGGAAGTACTTATAAAGCTATAGAATATAGGGTTAGTAATAGGCTGAGGGCTATGAAAGTATGTATATATATATATTATAGCTATATTAAGCCCTCCTAGCTATAGAGGGGTAGGATCTAGATATATACCTATCCACTTACCTACCTACTAAATGCGGATCTTATATCTATTAGTGTTAAGAGGGCTTCACTGCTTATATGAACCCTAATCCAGTACTTCCGCTATGCTTGCGAGCTCCGAATAGGTAGGGTATCTAATAAGTCTTATAATAGTTAATTCTTAATTAATTCTTATCTACTACCTACGTAAGTTAGATATACCTATCTACTCTTAGCGATCACGTAAGCCGTAGTTTACGTACTCCTAAGAGTAGTGGATCCTAGATATCCTAGATATTATTATCCTAATTATAGAGTTCCTTAATATTAATTTAATACTAGCTCTTCTTTTCTTTATAAGTAGAATAGCTATAAGAACTAGTATTAGGAGCTATCGCTAAGGTTAATAGCTACTCTAATATGCCTATAATTCTCTAGTCTCTAGTATATTAGATCTATTCTCTTATCCTTAATATAAATAACCTAATAATAGGAAATAATAGGAAAAGAATAGGAAATAATAATTAAGAATAAAGAAAGCGTAACTTAAACCTATTATTCTTATAAATATTAAGCCTCTAGTTCTTAACGCTTTAGAGTAATAGTATTATCTATAAATAGCTCTCTAAGGAAATAAATTAGAATTTAATAATAAATAGCGCTCTTATAATTATTAAATATATACTCTTAAAGCCTCTAAATCCCTAATATATTAATAAAATATAATAGAATAATTATTAGCTTTTTATAGAATCTATTAGAATAATTCCTAATAAATTAAACTATCCTTTAATAGGAATAATAGGATTAAATTACTTTAATTAAATAGGTTCTATAGAAGATCTATATATCCTATTAATAAGTTTTAATAATTCTATTCTATTAACCTTTCCCCTTCCCTATATTAATTTCTTTAATTTTTATAAGCTAGCTTAATATATATAAATAATATTTATATAATTAATAAATATTTAGTTTTATTACTCCTATTTATTCGTTTTCTTCTTATTTTAACTATAATAATACCTCTTAAGTATAAGACCCCTATACTTAAGCCCCTTAAAGCTAAGAGAGTAGCTAAGTATAAGAATATAGTTAATATTAATTATAAGAGCTATTAATCTAGTAAATAATATATATATATAATAATATTTATAAGGTTCCCTATTTAAGTTATTTTAAGTCTTATTTTATTAATAAATAAACTAAAATTAGCGTTTTAAATATATATTACGATCTCGATCTTAAAGGATCTTATTATTATAAATATATTTCTAAGTATTCTTATAAGCTAATATAAGCTTTTACGATCTATATTTCCTATATCTATAGCTCTAATAAATATTATCTTTAATCCTATTAATATATTTAAGCTTATTATAAAGTTTTTAGCTATTTATAATAAAAAGAATTAAATTATAAATTCCTATTCCTTTCTTTCCCTTAACTATCTAATTACGCACTTAGCTAATAATATAATTATAAGATTTAGAGAAATAATATACTATTCCCTAAACGATATTATAAATCATTAAGGAAGAGGATATTAAGAGGGGTAACCAGACCCGGCGGTCGGAACATAATCTCGCCTAACGCTAATTCTAAAGCGACGCGCGCAGCTAGGATACCGCCAGCCACACAGCTCCACGCTTCATGGGGAAGGACCTCGGCAGCGTCGTCATTGGCGATGGCGGGCCGGGCGGCGACGTCGCTGCTGCAGACGATGCTACGGACGAAGCGGACAGGGTCGGGCCGGTGCGGCAGCGAGGCGGGATCAAGGATAGCTAGCAGACGCGAGAGGGCACAAAA